GGGAAGAAAGAGGCAAATAAGTGTTTCATCCCAAGATTCACATTCATCCAAATCAAATAATGAGCCTGATTTACCTCAGCAGTCAACCCAGAGGATATCAGGAAGGGTTCGAAAGCGATCAAGATGGCTTGCTGATTATGAGGTTTAAATTAAACAATATGTTGTATATAAATTCAAATATAACTGTTACCTTCTGTACTGATTCAGTATGATTTCTTCTTGTAAAGCTGATACAGTGAAAATTACAAGAAAAGAGGGATAACTTATGCAAGGCACGTGCGAGCTGGATTTTGCCCCATTTTGGGCCAAATGGGCCAGCCCATGAGCCATTGGGTCTGGACAAAGCATGCCCGGCCCGCCCATGGGCCGAAGACTTTTGTCCAAACCCGTCCATGGGCGGGTTTTTGGGCCGGCCCAATGGGCGGCCCGTGGGCCAGGCCAGGTCTACATTTAGGGTTACGTTTGGGCCATATAAGGCAGTCTCATAGAATTGGAGTAGAAGACTCTCTTCACTGTAGTGGTCAGCAATCAATGACCAACCACTCATAAACGCAGAGCGTTATTAGATAGCGACGTCGACTGTTCTCTCCTCCACATAACCATTCATCGCCTGCCTTTCGTTCTCCTCAATCTCAAACTGTTCAACCACCGATTTCCATTTATTGTTGCTAAAACCCCCCTGTGCTTGACTGTATGAAATGGTGAATTCGACATGGTCTGCCTCCCCCTTCTGGGTATTGAACTGCACCGTCTCGTACGTGATGAGAAACAGCGTGGTCTGTGTGACTGTGAAAGGGTGAGTAAACGTGGCCATGCAAACAAGCATAGGCACTACTTACCAGATCGAATATTGCCCATGCTATACTCAAGGGTATTGGAGACATTGAGATGAGCCAGATTGTTGCTGACCTGGGATTTCGCCTCAATGGCTGCGATGATGATGTTGAAGATCCTTTCAAGATCTGGGATTGCACTTTCAGGAACATCAACAAAGGATTCAAGCACCTCTTGAATAATACTCTCATGAATCTTGCTTTTCTCGGCCGTGATGCGCTTGGTTTCGAATGTGTGGCTGTGAAGGTCAAAACTGTTGATGAAATAAGTTAGCATTGAACTGAGAATCAGGAATTTGTAGACCTTCAAAAGCTGAGGAACGGAACAAAGCACAAACCAGGGGCCTGTCAAAATCTGCTGTTCACCCATCTCTGCCACCCTGCTCACCCGAGCCAGGGTTGATTCCTTGTCGGTACCCTGAGGGAGTGAGGTGCGGGTGAAAACCGCGTCCCACCAGTTCAAGGTCGCCCAGGAGCGGTAGTCTAGGAGCTGCTGCTGGGCATCTGCCAACTTCTGGTGCTCATGCTCCGGGATACGCATGGCAAAGTTGGCATATGAGACGGGCGAGGCTTCGCTGCTGTCCCTCAAGGCTTTGTCCAATATGTAATCAATGTGACAGCCTGGTCACGTTGGCTGGTTATCACGTGAGATGCAGTTGTTTGCTTTGTTGATAAATACGGCGTCACCCCCTTTCTTCCTTCCTC